ACACGCACGACCTCCGCAGAGGGTTGCGCGCACACCGGACAAATCGCGCACTCGACAAGCACGATCCGCACGATCTCGGCAGAGGGTTGCGCGCGCATACGACAAATCGCACTCTCGCCGGCATTTCGCGCACTCGACACGCACGATCTCCGCAGAGGGTTGCGCGCACAAATCGCACTCTCGCACTCTCGCCTGCATTTCGCGCACTCGACACGCACGATCTCCGCAGAGGGTTGCATTTTCGGTTGACGCTGTTCGTCCCACCCTCCACCTTTAAGAGAGAATTTATAAGGTGGGGAAATGTTTTTCAAAATGTTTTTCATTAGGACATCTCCCGTGCAAGTTTTTTAGGACATCTCCCGTGCAAGTTTTCCATACTCATACTTGCATACTTGCACTTGGATACTTACACTTGCATACTTACCCGTGGATGCTTTTGTTCAAGTGCAAGTGTGGAAGTGTCAGTGTTCAAGGGATTTTCCGGAAGAACCCTTCGCACTGCTTTCGGGAAAAACAATTAAAAGCGATCATTTGACAAACTCACAAAGGGCACCCCTCACAAGGCCGGTCCCCCATCAATAATCTACACCACTACCCCCTATGAATTTGATCCTGTGTTTCTGGCCTTTTCCTTTGTGCTTGTTTAAACTTATCGTGACTACTACTACCACTACTGTTGCTACTGCGACTACCACTACCACTACTACTGCAGGGGAGTAAATCACTTACACTTGCTTTTGTGTGTCTACTATAGTTCCAAGCCCGGCGAGGGGGTTCAGTTTCCAACCTCTTGGACAAGTCAGATTTGTAGAAACCACTTGGGAGGATTTTTGCGGGGCTTTGTTGGTTGTATATGTTTCGATCCAACCAACAGGATCATTAAACACAAGCAACAAGCTGCATTTGTTTGTTGTTTCTTTGTGTGCATTTGCGGGTGAAGCACCCCAGTGCGTGACATGGATGTACGGAAGCAATGCTAGTGCATTCAAGGGTTGGGCACTTAAAAATATAACACATCATTATAGAAAAACATGTATGCAACATTCTCAACTTGATCGTGGATCATGAGTTTCCAGGTAGTATGACCCAAGCTGGTTATGAACTAGTTGTTGGCTCAATTGTCAGTGGGAGATCTTACGCCTTTTTAAGGTAGAGGCCATATGGGATATTATATAGAAGAGATTGTTCTCGAGTGGTCTAGTTTCATTTGAATGTGCTTCTCTGTATTTCTTGTGGCCTGGCCGGGCCTTGTCGTGCATCATGCAGCCTGTAAACACAAACTTCACAAACGCCAAAGGTGAAAAAGAACAACTTTGCCGTCCTTGCGCCATCATCACTCCACTCCAAGAAGGGACCCCAACCACTCCAACCTCTCACAAACCTCTGGAAGTTCTCCTTTTTTCGGGGCACCCACTTCAACCTTGCCCATCCAACCGACCCAGACGGGACCCAGACAGGACCCAGACGGGAGTGGGAGACACCCGCCGCAGTGACCCAGACGGGTGTCTCCAGAGGCTGCATTGTGCGTGGCAGATCGAACACCCAAGTCTTTGGGAGAAATACAACGCGGAGCGGAATGATGCTCGGCCGCCCCCTACCCAGGAAAATAGGGAACCAACCGGTGGGTGGGGTGACCAAAAGAGGAAACAGTCACAGTTGAGTGGGGACATCATTGACAGCATTGACATCCATGAAGTTTATCGGTAACTGGATGGTTGGGCATAGAGTTGCTGTTTTTGAGCTGGGTCCAAGATGAGTGACCTCTCTGACTCTGGGCGGGTGGTGGTTCAAAAAAATGAGGTCACTCAGCCTCTAGGTCCTAGGTATCCCGGCCTATACACCACAATTAAGCTTCGTGGAGGCGAGGTGTATCCGCATGGTGGGTGTCAATGAGGAGTGATGTGTTTTTGTTGCTGCATGGAACACTTGAGCAACAGAAAGACTCACGATGACTCGTGGTGTGAAAGCCTTCGAAGACTTTCCGAGTGCCACACCGTGCCATGCCTTTCGCCTCTCTTGGCGCCTGAGGATGTTCTTCGCAACATGAAGAAGCTGGAGCGCAACTCCATCGAGACGCCCAGCTGGAAGAGCAAGTTGGATGAGAACTCCCCTGCTTTGCCCGACGAGCTTTGTACGGCGATCGGTGCCTCGACCATCGCACCAGGGCCGTGGCCTGTGATGGCCCTTGAAAGTCCATCTATGGGAATCGCATGCCTTACAAGTTCAAGGGTTGGTACCTGTCACATGGATGAAAGCAGGGTATGTACAGCAGGGTCCCCAGGTAGGTCCATCTATATGCCAGTCCCCAGGTCCAGTCGACCTGGCGGGCCTGGAACCAGGCCGAGCCCCCCACACACGACACATGGGACTGCCATATGGGCCGATCAGGCCAGTCCCATGGAGTACAGTAGTTGGGTGTATGGAAGGTCATTGGGCGGACACTCCTTTTTTTGGTATACTTGGAGGGTCCCAACGGTATTTGGATGTATACCTATATCTCTTGTATAGATACAAAGATGGGCCCCCCTAGTTGGAGAACTTGTAAAGTGCCGTAACATATGTTATAACATGGGTTAACTGATGTTGTAAGCTGGTCTAAGATTGTGAAGTGTTCTAAGTTCTTGGTGGTATTTACGTTGCAGTTGCAAATTACTTTCGATATATATAAATAAGTTATCCTAGTTTATGTTGGAGGGTGCTAAATTAGTGCGAAATCACTTACAACTTACTTAGGGAACTTAGGTTTTTTCATTGAAAAAACTATGTTTTTTTGTGGACGGGTTTGCAGAGAAGCGTTTTTTTAATGTTTTTTTTTGTGTACTCTTCTTTTTTGTGTAGAACTGAGACTGATTAGCAAATCTTTGTATTTTGTGTTGTTTTGGAAACATTTTTTCTGCTTTTATGGGCGCGATTGTTTTTTATGTTTTAGTCGTGAAAAATTTGTGGGGTGGTGGTCCACCCGTACGACAGAGTAGTACTTTGCACACAGAAACACGTAAACATGCAACACGCACACGTAGTAGAATATAGTGTAACGAATCCATTATGTAGGCCATGGAACAACTAGAAGCCATTAAGCTGGATCACGCCCCAAAATTGAGGAGTAGATCCTTGCCTGTCCGTGACGCATCACAAGACGCACACACACACAGTCCCTCAAAAGATCTGATGTAACCTGATGAACAAGAGGCTATATGTACAGTAGGTGTACGGTAGATGTACGGGAGATCTACCGTACATCTACCGTACATCTACCGTACATTACCGTACATTCCCGTACATCTACCGTACATTACCGTACATCTACCGTACATCTACCGTACATTACCGTACATCTAC